CGCCCCGTGGCGTCAGGCGCGGCCTCGGCCTCGGGGCGGGAGCAGAGCCGCAGTGCCGTGTCTCTTCTAGACATAAAACCATCATAGAACCAAGAAAAAATCATGTTTTTCGATTTAACTTTCCTCCCCCACCTTCTCCAAATCTATCTTGTCATCAGGAGCAAAGCTCTTGGTTTTACACAAAGTGACATCAGTTTCCCTGCAAGCTGAGAGGTTAGGCGGAATGTTTATATACAAACTGTGTGATCTTTTGGTTAGTCTGTCTTGGCATTCGTTCAGTAGGTAAAAGCACTCAGAAATATACCATCCTGGCATTTAAAAACACCATTTTGGCATTATGAAAATGAAGCAATTCTTCCTCTGAGTTTTGCCAAGGTGGTTCTGCTCAAGAGTTCCTTTCATCATAGGCATGGATGAAGCTTGCATTACAAACCTTAACAGCTTGTTTACAGATGCTGTATTACTTCCTCTATAGCTGTGGTTATAGGTATGTTTTAGTAATTTCCTTTGTTCTCCTGCTTTCTTGATACGAGGAATTTTTTTTGTGTGTTTGTTCTAGATGGCAGTGTCAGACTCGATCACTACCTGTCTTTCTCAACCTGTGCATTACATGATTTGCAAACTTGGATTTGAGAAGAAAGACACTTATGATATTAATAATATTTTATCTGGAAATGGTGAAGTATGTTGGCAAGCTGTTACAGAGCATGTGTGTTACCTTGAATCAGGTTGGTGTTTACCTGCTGTAGTAGTAGTGATACATTCAAGACTGATGCAGAATTTCAGCACAGTTCCTAGCAGTCCTAGTTTAGTAATATCATTCTGTTGCAGTACAGCATTAGCTTTGCTGGAGATTAGAGTATGTACAGTTCATATCTACAAAGAGCTTTAAATTTTTCATCCACATTTGGTGTTTGGTTTTTCCTGGCTCCTAAGGTCTGTGTAGTCTGTGCTACTTAAGTAGCTGCTACTTTGCCTTCACCTTGGTTTTCAACTTAATGTACCTGCAACATAAGGAGTTCAGTTCTGCTTCTCTCCAGCCTCATCATTGTCTTCTTCTGTGTTCTTTATATTCCTTTTGAGGTAAATTTAAAACTCTCTGTTGCTGTTGCTTCTGGGTTTTTTCCCCCGAGTTTAACTTGTACATAAGTACCATTTGGCTTCCATTCTGTATGTGGAATAGTTTATAGTCATTTTAAAAAAAATCATAATTTATGCCCTGATGAACTAATTGAATTTTAATTTGCCAAAATTGCATCATGCAAGCTCTGTTATTAATTTCCTGGTGTGGTGAGAATGGTACATGTTTCTGCCACAAGGAATTTGTTGCAAAAAAACAAGAGAATTTATTTTCCTTTAAAAAGTGTCCCACCAAAAAGAAGCAGTGATACCACTCTGTGAAGTACCACATCAATCTCTGTTCTTTAAAGGGTGTAAGTGGTGCAACTTGACTGAGCCTGCTCAGCCTGCTCTAGCTTCCAGCTTGATTATGTGGAATTTCTGTAGAAATTCTAGGAGGTTCTTCCCATTTCAACAAAAGCATAATGATCCCATTTACTTCCATATTTTCTTGCATTGAGGTTTTGTTTTGATTGATTTTTGGTTGGGTTTTTTTTGTTTTATTTGGAGAAATTGCTTTTTTTTTATACCTGGTTTTGCACTACAATTTTACTTTTCAGTATTCCATCTGTGTGGTGTTTTGGACAGTAAATTATAGTGTAGTAGTTGTGCTAAAATAGCCTGGATAAAATTCTTTATGCTAAATATGTACACAAGCTGTAGCAGGTTTTATTCATTGTGAGTTTTAAAATACTGGTGGACATTTGGGAAGGTTGGTCTTGTAATCACCTCCTGTTTCTCAATTTAAGGTCAAAGTCTGGATTATATCAAAAGCATACGATCATTAGGACCTGTATGTGAATCTGTCAATTTGCACTTCAAATCTCTGACCAAGGAGCAGTTTGTAATTCAGTATGCATCATGGTTCCACTGGACAAACTGCACAGAGGTATGGAAATGCCTGTTAACAACTTGTATTTTGGCATGTGAACCCTTTGTGAAAGTTTAATGTAAGAACACAAAAGAGAGATCCATCAACCAAAATGCTTAGAATTTGTAGCTAATTGTCCTTCTCTGATATGTAGTTGCTTGTCATTTTCCTGACTTTGTAATTAGATTTTATATTAGAGAACATGAGGGGCTTTGGGCTCGTTCTAAGCTAACATCATAGGATTTTGTTTTGCTAATAATCTGTGCCTAATATCAAGCTTTGCTATGTCAAGTTATTGTGGGTAATTTTTATAGCTGTAAGGCACTAGATAGATTGCAACTGAAAATACAAGAGGTGCTCTAGGGAAATTTTTTTCCAAGGATCTACATTTTTATCTCCTTAGCACATTTTTCTTTCTTCATTTGCGTAGTAGCTATCACAGAGGAATATTTAGGTTTCTCTGTGCCTTTGACAATTTTGTTTTTCCTTCTGAATATTTAACACAATATTCTTCCTTTTCCTCCCTTCATACAGGTGTTTCTTGAAGTATTTGATGTTTTGCAGTATACACAAACTTCTGAAGTTGCTCTGGGATTAATGAAGCTAACATCATGTTTGGAGCGAGCCCTGGGTGATGTAGGTGTCAGGATGGGGACTCTATTGCAGATTTGCCTTTACAAGATGGGAATGAGCTCTTGAATTTAATTGCACATTAAAAGAGTGAGGTCACTCAGTACCATAGTAGTACACTAGCAGCCCAGGTCCATTTTGGACTGCCTGGGGAGGTGGTGGATTCACCATCCCTGGAGGTTTTCAAGATGAGACTGGATGTGGCACTTAGTGCCATGGTCTAGTAAAAATGGTAGGGTTGGACTTGATGATCTTTGAGGTCTCTTCCAACCTGGTTGATTCTATGATTCTATGATTTTGACTTGGGCAGAGGTTCTTTTCTGGATCCACTTGTGCTAATGGAAGCATCTTCTGAGGCTCTTTCACCTGTGCTGGTAGATTTGCTTGTGTGAGTGCTGTTACTAACCGATTTAATTAAGAAAGAGCAGAGTTTGTTTAATCAGTATATATACATAGTAGGTCTTTGTTACTTTGATTTATTTAACTGAAATGAGGAGCAGCATAGCTTCCACAGAAGATCTGATGGTATAGTAACTTCTTTGATGAGTGGCAAGAGCATGGCAAAACTGGCTGCTAGATAACTTCTTTCCTGGGAAGAAAGGAGCAACAACTATTTAACGAGTCTTTGCTGGTGGGCTATATTACCCATAGATAAATTAAAATAGCTGGTTGTTAAATATCTACAAGGAGCTCTGGAGAAGGAAATGCCAGAGAAAGAACAATGGGCTAACTCACATCGACACAAACCAATTCGCCCAAGTATGGGGAGTGGTAGGTTTTGAAGTAATGAAAAATTGCCAAAGATTTGGAAAACATCAGAGAGAATACAAAGAATGGAAGGTGTCATAGCAGTGGAAACAAGAGATGCTGAGATTGCCCAACATGGATAAAATCTAGGAACAGCCTGAATCAGAAGACAAACCACAAGTCTCCTTCCTTTAACAATGATAGACCCTATAGATTTCTAGAGTGAGGATGAAATGTGGTGTCCTTGGTAGAGTTTATTCCCTTGATTACATGTTCTTCTTGTGCTTTACTGGGGTTTTTCTAGTGGATGTTTTGGAAGAGCAGAGCAGTACGTGTAGAGACACAATGAAAAGCCTAACTATGGGAGCATTAAGTAGGATATCCACTCTTTTCTGACATATTGCCTAAATTTTATTTGCCATGAAATTACAGAATGTAAAGCCCCTTTAAGGATTCAGTGGGATTTGTCTGACTGTTGTTTTTACAATAATTAAAGTGGTTACTGGGTGAAATAGTCAAGTTGTATGTTTGAAATACAATGTATACTGCATTATCTATGTTACCTGTTTTGCTTTTTCTTTATTAGGTATATTTGCTGAATGGTAATGACTGCCCTTTCCTTCTAAGAGACTTGCTTGCTTCTGAGCAGCTCGCAGCTGTCTTTGGACAAGCTGTAGTAAGTGCATAGTTTTGAAAAAAGTAAAAAATAATGATCTGGTTTTCTTCTTGCCTAGTGGCATGCTTCCAAGCATAGCTTTTACTTGTGCTGAGGAAGCATTTGCAAATTCTGTAGTATATAGTAAAAATATAGATGTATTTTCATTTTATGCATGTTACTGTCTGGGGGATATATGGTAAAAATAGTGAATATTGTAGAGGAAATACTTTTAAAGTCACACTCATAAGTTCTTGCTTTTCCACATTAAAAACCTACATATGTAAAATTTTACATATCTGCCAAGGGGATGAGCAAGCTGCAGAGTTCATTCGCCTCATTCTGAGATGCACTGGTTGAAAACACACATCCTGCACTGGCTGTGAAAAGCTGTGTTCCCCTTCACCACCACAGTAGTAAGAAGCTTTGTAGCATTTCCCACATTAGAATTTTTCAAAATAGAGGACACTAATTTGTTCATCCCCCATGTGCAAAAAAAATAATAACCCCAAAATTCTGATGACATTTACACTCTTATGTAAACAGGTTAGGTGGTTTCTTGCATACGGTTTTACAAATGCAAGTTCTTTGTTAGGACGAAATATTGAATATTCAATATCTGAAGGGACCTACGAGGGAACCAGAGAGGAGCTCTTTATTAGGAACTGCAATGACAGGACAAGGGGTATTGGGTTCAGATTGAAGGAGGGGAAGTTTAGCTTAGATATTAGAAAAAGGTTTTCTACTGTGAGGGTGGTGAGGGTTGGACTAGATGATCTGTAAAGTCCATTCCAACCTCTAAAATTTTATCATTCTATGATTCTATGGTTGGGTATGAACTGTGGAAACTTGAATTAGTAGCCAATATAGTTGTGTTATAGGGATTATTTAATGAACTTTCATGGCATGTGGAATATTTAAATTCTTGCAATTAAAAATAACCCAAAGTTTCCTATTTTGTTTGGTGAGCTGGGAATACAGCTTTGAGTGCAAATTCTCTATTTTATGTTAACTTGCATTAAATTATGGTGCATTTCTACTACAAGAGCTAAACTTGATCTCATTTGTTTGCCTGTCGTAACTGTTTGAAATGTCTAATAACTAGTTTTGTTCTTTCTGTATTATATTCTATAACCTGTACAAGTAGACTGAAAGGTTTCCTTTCAGAGAATACTGGGAATTGCAAATAATGAGTTTCTGTTACTGTGACAAGCTGTCCCAGTCATCTTGACAGTAGACATTGTAGCTTTTCAATACCTTCTGAAGTTTTCAGTGAGGGAAAGATACAAGGTAATAAATAATGGATTTCTTCATGCAGTAATCACTTTGTTTATTAATTAGATGAATGTACTGAGGGTATTCATTGGATCTCCATGTGGTCTGAATCTTCGTAATGTTTTGTGGCATGGATTTGCATCCCCACAAGAAATTCCTGACAAGTAAGTTACCAAAAAAAAAAAAAAAACCCTCTCATTTTCTTACCAGTCAGACTTTCAAGTTCTTATAAAGAGGTTTAGTAAAACTTATTTTTCTTCTGGAGAAAAAAAAATTAACCAAAGGCCTCTGGCAGTATCCCAACAGATTTCCCCTGCTGCTGCTGCTTTTGGAAATGGGTTTCCATAGAATACTTCAGCCATTTTAAAGATGGTCAGTATTACAACCAGTGGTTTTTGTACTATTAGGGAAAGCAAGAGAGCTTAACTGTTTTTTAAAAGCCCTGTCAGGACAGTCAGGAATAACTCAGAACAAAAGGCAGGGGAATGGGGTTGAAGGAGGAGCAACAGCAGCCAGTGTTGAATAGTGTGATGCTTTTTTCCTAATTCTACTCTTCTATTTTCTTTCATGCTTGTGAATGCCATTAATAATAACATTGTGCCCCTACTCAGATGGGGAGTGTAGGTTTTGGATGTTCTATGAAAGAGAGATAATCCCGTTTGTCTGTAACTCACAAATGTTGATTCTTTGCACAAGATTTATTTGTATGAGCTTTTCTAATGTATAATGGTATTCTCCCTAGGTATTGTGCTATGCTGCTTTTTTTAACTGCAGGATTGGGTCAGTTGTTACAGACTTACCTTCTGCAAACTAAATGCATTTTAGTACATCGACCTTATGTGGTTCTTGCTAGCTTAGAGGAGTTTGATGTATTTCCAGGCAAGTATTTAACCATTAGCAAGTTTTTTATTATCCTGTATTTGCTATTGTTTCATTATCCAAAAGTGCTGTTCAAAATAATGCATTTTCCAGAGCGCTAAGATTAAATCTTAACTAAGATACCTGTATATACTGTCATTAGATGAATTAATCATGCTTATAGGACAAAGTTTTAATATGTGGGCTGTTCTACTGACTAATGAATCAAAAAATACTACATTCTCAAATAATTGTAACACATTGAAAACTGACACATGACTGCTTCTAAAAGGCTTCAACTGTATGTTCCATTTTTTGGATTATCAGAGTTCATTTCATGTAACAGTCATCTAGTTTGCCTTTACAAAATCTAATTCTTTCTGGAATCAATGGGTTTCACCAGCAGGAGTGCCCCCATCCCCTACCACGGAAGGGAGTGTTGAAGCAGAGTGAAGGATGGTAACACATCTTCAGTATACCAATGCTTTTCTCAGGGAAGGTCTTGAAGTGTCAGATTAAAATATTCTAATCACCCCATGCACAGACCTTATTTTGTTTATTTCTACTATTTTTAAGGCAGCAAGAGCATATGGGCATTCTTGGTGTCAATGGTGGTCATGATCAATTTGTGCTACATGATCAGTTTGCAGGTGGAACATCTGTCCATGAAACTGAGACAGGGCTTTTGGGAACCAAATCAAGTTGATAACATTCCTATCGTTATGGTGTGTAAATCCTATAGTTGGCGATTTGCTTTGAAAAAACATCTACTGCAATCAAGTTGCACTTAGCATTTTAAGCTTTCTCTTGGTTAAGATATTTATAATATGAATCCCTAAGTGTGAGTTTCATTATATGGTTAACATTGAAGTAGGAAATGTTAATTTATTATGCTAAATGTCAGCACAGAAAATTATTGAATAGGACCAATGTGCTTATGCTCAAATGTTCATTCTACTGTACTGATTCTGACTGAATAGAAATTATTATTTATATTACACTTCTTTAAGGTATTTGAGGTAGGTGGAAGATTACTCAGCCGAAGCTGGGTCCAGTTGCTGTGTAGTCTTTTAATCTCAATAAAAAGTAAGCACAACTTTGTAACTGTTTTTACTCCGTAATTTTATATTATCACCAGAAATGCAATCTTACAAACTCCAGTTCTGATCTTAAATGTGGCTACCATTGTACTTGCATTGTTAAAATAAATTGCGTAATTTTTAAGTTTCCTTTTACAAATGTTGAAATATTATTACATTCTCGGTGAAATTTTGAGAATGAATTAGTAAACTGTAGATTGTGTGTAGTCTTTCAGTGTTGTTTTGTTCACTTGCAGATCTTAATCATGAAGCACTTTCTGTAGCTGAAGAGCTTGTAAAACTGTCCAGTTTTGTATTAAAGACAATGTTACCATTTTGGATGGCTGCTTTAGAAGCTTTCAGGCAAAGCAGGTAATAGTCACATTTCTTTTTTGTTGTTTTTTTAAACAGAATATAGAAAGAATTTATTCTATATTTATATGTCTGCATTTGTAGATTCCAAAGCTTTTTATTAATTCTGTTGCTCAACAATGAATAGTTATGCATTGTTATGATGATCTCTCAGAAGTTTGCGGACTTACTACTTTATTTGGTGCCAACTAAGGTCATAAGCTGTATTTTGAAACCTGAAAAGAGCTGTTGCAGATGTAGCAAAAAAGGAAAGGGTTACAAAGCAAGTGGAAATCAATTTTTGTATATTAACATTTTGAATTATGAAAAAAAAACCTGTGTGTTTTATTTTCCTCTCCCGTGCTCCACCTTTCCACTAAAGTATTCGAGTCTCAGTTGTCAGTTTCTGTTTGGTGCAATTAGTCATTTATTGTTTGTTTACAAAATGCATTACAGAGGAATTTTGGTCCAGCTTGTTTGGCCTGAGACTGTGAGTCTGAAATGTCTCTAATTTCTATTTGGATTCTATTTGTAAAGGAGAAAAACCCTCTTCGGATATCTCTGTTAATTTTTCAGGTATGCTGACTGTATGATTCTCTTACTTCCTCAGCTGGAACTTGGACTTAGATTGCTCTTCACTGCAACTAATAAATGTCCAAATCGATTGCTAACAGCTGAGGTAAAATTTCTGTCTAAAGTCAATTGTGATTTAGTGCTTAGAATATTTGCAAAATAGTTATTCTAAAGCATAGTGTCTAAACATTTGCAGATTTACCCCCAAAAAGTTTCAATCAGCTGTGGAACATTAGTTACAAATTTCCAGTGGAGATTCATGAACGCCTTGAATTTTTTTTAAAGATGTCTGCCAGTAAAAAGGGCTGAAAAAGTACTTGAAGGTTAATGTTTAGAAACAGTAGTTTAGGATGGAAAGTAGACCATGCTATATTTATTTTAAAAAACTCAGCACAAAATCAAAATCCCTTTTTTTCATTGATAAGGGTTGGGGTTTTTTGCTATTCATGCACTTCTGGTATCTCATGCAAATGCATGAAAAATTTGATATACATGTCTAGTTAATTGTTTTTGTTTGAAAACCAAATAATATTAATTGTGTTTTGTTCCAGTCTTCTGCTCTCTACACCACTTTCGATGAGGTACTGTGGTTTATTTTTTTGTAAAAATATTTATCACTGTCAGAATTTAAGCACGTACACATTTCCCATTACTAGAGTCCAGAATACACTTTCTTATGTTGGATAAGACATTATTTATTGCATTTTCCAAATAAAAGATGATAGAGAGTAAACACTTTAAATTCAGAATCCTCCAGAAAATATCAAAATTAGTACAAATTGTAGTGAACAGACTATTTTCTTCTAAATGGTTTTATATTTAAATTTTTCACAGAAATAAACATTCTGTCATTATTTCTAGATTCCGTTATTAAAAATAAATAAATAAAATATTACAAGCAGAAATCTCAATTTTGCAAGTCTTTTGAATAATCTCAAATTGTCTGTCAGTAGTAATTAGGCACTTTGATTCTAGAGTGGCAGAAGTAATTGCTTAAAACTGGGGAAACTGGTTGCCTTAGTTGGTGCTCCTTCTTTGATTGTTTGGCTTTCAATAGCATAAGAAATTTCTATTCAAATTACTTTTTTTTTCTAGATGCTAGCAAAGCATTTGGATAGTGAAGTCAATCAGCTACCTGTAGTTCTTGAGGAGCCTGCCATGGCAAGTGTTTTGAAAGTTTTGTGGTGGTTTTGTGGTTTTTTATTTTTTCTTGCGTTAGTTTGTTGGGTTTTTTTTAATTTAGTAATATCTTTATGATGCCTGATAAGTATTTATTTCATTTAGCTTATATCCAACAGCTTAGAACCCGAAGCATGTTAGCCTTTTTCATTGTGAAGGGTACAAAGTAGAACCTGGCAAGTTATATTGGGTTATATAGGGCTACTTTTCTTTCTGAAATACAGACATCTCAGAGGTATTTGTTTTTAGACTTCTCAAGTTCAGCTGAATGGAGCAAAAGGAAAACTGATGCCTCGTACAGAGAAAATTCAAACTTATTCCTCATTGCTTCTGGGACACATCACAGAATCATTAAGGTCGGAAAAGACCTCTGAGATCATGGAGTCCAACCTATGACCTAACACTACCATGTCAACTAGACCATGGCACTGTGTCACATCCAGTCAGTGTTTCCTTAAACACCTCCAGGGATGGTGACTCTACCACTTCCCTGGGCAGTCCGTTCCATCATCTAATCACCTTTTCTGATGAGAAATCCTGCCTAATGTCCAGCTTGTCCAGCATTTTGCACTATCTGGGCAGATGGCACAAAAATGTAGCTCAAACCTACCAGAACACATTCTCCATCTTACCACCCAGATAGTCAACATGAAAACTAGGGGTGTTGAATTAAAGGTCTTTTGAGAATATAGAGGAGATCTGAGGTTACTGTCCTGTTGCCAGAGGCAGTGGAGGACTTGGGACAAAGCTGAAGGAAATCTGTTGTAAGCTCACACAGTATAGCGTGTGTATTAGTTTTGAATTTCCTCAGAAGCTACCAAGATGGATGAGTTGCCCTTTTTTTTTTTTTTGTCGTTAGGAGCATAATTTGCATTGGGGTTTTTTTCTGCAGATCTGAATTCTCCTTTCCTATAGACTTGATTACATACTTATCTTTCAGAGATATTCTATACACTGAACATATTAAATTCTATGTGAATACGCGTAGAATAGAATTCTGTACACTTGGGGTATGTTTCCACAGGAATTTCTTTGGGATTTCTTGAACCACCAAGAGGGCCCACGTATAAGAGATCGTTTAAGCCATGGAGAGATCGATCTAGAAACATTTCCTAGAGAAGTAGCTAATCAGATGGTTGCATTTGCAATTACTCTTCTCTGCAGATTTTCAGATGAGGATATGTCTTCTTTTAAGGTAGGGATCAATATTATGTTTTCAGAAGGTTTTTTTTCAGTTATTTGCCAAACCTGATTTTAGAGAGTTTTATGACTGAATCTTTCTTGACAGCTGCTTTTTGTGGAAATTGAGTATTCCTCCAAGTAAAAAATTGTGAAAGTGTGTTTTTCCTAGTTTTGTAGTGAAATAAGTGCAGAAAGTTTTCCAGAAGATTACCCTATCTTACTGTACCTTAATTCATTGGCTTAACCACTCCTTATTCACATGGTTGATCCATAAATAACAGTTAATTTTAGTTGTCAACTTGTGTTGATATCTAGCCTGTCTATGTGCTGAATTATCTGAAAGGTACATAGAACAGCTGTTGCTCACCCACTGAGGTATGTAGTATTTGAGGTTTTGTTTTTCTGAGATGCTATAAATTATGGTGGCTCACTAATGGAGGTGTTACTTGTATCCATACTTATACCGTGAATTTCTAAACACTTTTCGTCTAGCAGTGTGTTTCTCAGCATTAGTGACTGTTGTATTTGCTCTCCCCAGTTTCCCATTTATATTTGGGATTGCTTCTTTCAATGTCATACAGCAACCCATGAGATAAATCTTCCATTTATTAGTTGCAGCTCTTTTTAGTTTCTCAAGATGTATTATGTTCTGCTGCATTAACAGAATACTTACTTTTCTGTCAGCTGCTGTCAGTTTTTGTAGTTAAAATGTGCAAAATTGTGCTTTAACCAGTCACTGTGCTGATAACTTCTTTCAGCCCTGAGACATTTGGAAGTCTTTATTGACGTCGGTGCTCTAGGTAGCTTGCATAAAATATAGTCTAGGTCTGCATATGATTATGACAGTTAAAAGAAACTGTTGTGCATTGTCTGTGATTTCATAAATCAGGAACATATGGTCATAAAACCACTGATGAACTGTGCAAGTTGCTACCAATCTCGTTTTCACCCAATTTCCCGACTCAAGAAACAGGTAGGAGCTTCCATCCGTGAAATCATTTTGGTCCTTAAAATTAGGAAACCTTAAAATTAGTTTAATTGTTTTCTTCATGCTTTGATTGTCCTAAAAATATTAATATCTAAAATATTTTTAAATTTATTTTGTTTATGTTTCAAAATTTAAAGGAATTTGCAGTTGCTAAAATGAGATATAACTATGGACACTCCTGCTGATGCAATTGGTACTATGTTTGTGCTCTAGAACCCTGAATAGCTTTATTATTACAATGTTTGTTGTTCTGTAGATTTTTTCAATCTTCATCTGCTTTCTTATGTCAGAAACAGTGTTTGATCATGTCTGTAGGAATCTTGGATTAGGCCATTACTAAGGTTTTTATTGTATGCCAGCTAGCTGATTTAGGATTCTCTCATTGTAGCAATATTTACTTTCCATTGTCATGGCAGTTCTCTGCCCATCAGTTTTTCTATCAATGAACTGCTTGAGGATGTTCCTCTATTGATTTGGGATTGCA